CCGTGCGATGTTAAGACAGTTACTGACTTTTATGTTATAGAGAAACCTTTTTAGAAAGCCTGGCTTTATCAGACTCCATTTTAGAAGGTTTTCAAAACCCAACCGGATAAAGCTTAGAGCAGCCTTGTCTGATCTCATAGCTGACCTTCTTTAAATAGGAGCTTGGATTTGAGAGCTCTTGAGGCTCCTCACAACAAGAAATTATCCTATGATCAGGTTAACAATATTCAAAAAGAATTTTAAAAAAAATACACACTCCCAGGACTACTTGTTAAGGAAGCTATGCATAACCCTATAAAGAACATACAAATACTAGGATTTGAGTATAAATTCAAATTACTAAACATAGCAAGAATTATTAACTCGAAACTCTTTCTGAAAGCCAATTCAACAGTTCAGCATCAGCCACAAAGTACCTTTACTGTAACATAACTAAAATATTTGATCTTGTAGAAGTGAATAGTTTTAATACACAAAGTGAAAAATCTAGTAAACAGATTTCTGCATACAACTTTTAATGAAAACTCAGTGAAGGAACATGAGCTAGCAGCAAGATTTTTGTTTTTTCTTTGTTGTACAGCATTGGATTTACATGCAGCATTATTAAATGGTATGCTATCTAGACAATCACATATCTAAGATATAAACATCATTTGAAATAGGTGAATTTTTACTAAGGCAATGAGTCAAAATTCCCTATTAAAAACTTGTTTGAATACAAAAATAGGAATTTTAACAAACAAGCAACGAACACGCACATATATATTGTCAGATGAAAACATTATGTAATAGAAATTCCAAGTTCACGTATTACAAGAAAAAATGAGGTAACAGGTTCAAATCACTGTTGACAGAAAATTGAAGACTTTCAAGATTTATCGGAGAAGAATCCTCTTACATTTTGGTTCTGAAAGTGTGTTTTATCAGTTTCATAAGGTGACAAAAATAGAATAAAGCTTGTTATAAACAAATGTATTCTCTTCAAGGGTGAAAGAGCAAGCTCACCAAACAGTTATCAAAAGGCCCCAAGCACCAGTTGCAGTTTGCCAGTTTTAATATTTGAATTATATCTAAGGCCGAATAAGCCTAGGATAATATTTCTTTGGGCTCATTCAGATGACCAGGAATTGTATACTATGCACCATCAGGATTAAACCTTCTATTTAAAAGCCAGTCACATGAGAAGTAGCTGAACTTTTTTAGCAACTTTTGTATCTCTCCAAACCCCATTTTATGATCAATAATCTTCTGTTGGAAAAAAATAAAATAATCACAACTTAAAGAATGTGAAAAATATTTTTGAACAAGGGAGATATCTGAGGAAACTAAGATTTACTTAAGAACAAAAATATGTACCTTTCTTAGTCTTGATTATTTTAAATATTAGATTTGATTAACTAGCTTCTGGTAGACAAAAGCCTTCCTGGACTAGCTATCATTCAGAAAAGGACTGATCAATGTTTCAGCCAAGTTTTTTTAAAATTTTATTGCCAGGCTTAGGCTACATTTTACTTTCATTTGTTCTGGCAACATTTACTCATGAGAGCAGTGCTCATGCTATAGTATATTATAGAATCTGGGAGTTCCCAAGTAATACTACTTCATAATTCAACATTAACCATCACAGATAGTTTTAAAGAAGGCAAGATGTTTAATTACATGAGTTTATTTTCTGTGTAAAGCTTGTAACTGTTTAAAATCCTCTCTCAAGCAAATGACTAGTTACACTGCTTGTGATCAGCACTAGGACTCTCTGGATGAGGATAAATTGAAGCAACTAGATTTCTGCTCTATTATTCTCATGAGATATGAATGGAAATTTAGATATATACTGGGGAATGTTAATTTAAATATTTACAATTATTTACTGAAATAATAAAAAATTTGAGTTCTAATAACTCTGGTGAGCTAAGTAATGCTGGTTTTAGGCTTTTGGGTATAAGTGGTCAGGAAATAACTATAAATACCAATGTAGTTTACACTTACGTTGCTGAAATAACAGACCCCAACTACTTATACTAAGATATAAGAAGCGCAGAGAAGAATGCTTGCAGAAGAGAACCTATCTGACCAGCAAGGACATGTTATAACAAAATGAAATTGAACATTTTTCAGGTGTACAGATTAAAAATGACAAGTAGTAGGATGCAGACTAAAGTATGGCTTCCACACCTGTGACTTCTGACCCTGTTAACTCTTGCCAGACCCTCCCAGTTCACACAAAGACACCAAAGCCCCTTACCTATATCACTGTTTTGACAGCAGCCCCCTTCTAACCGTTACCCATGTTCTCTGCCGCAGCGACACCTGCACTGGGCTGAGCCTGCCAGTCCCCTCGGCAGCAACGCAGCTCCCACCCCACCCGGCACCCTCACCGTGCCCTGCCATGGCACCTCACCCTGCCCACGAAGCTCCAGTGCTTGCCCCGTGGTTGCCTGGGCTCCTGCCGTGCAGCCCCACGCATGCCTTCCCCGTGCTCCAGTCTGCACTCAGGACAACTCCTATTGATTCTTCACAGGATAAGTATATACAGACAATGCCAGAGTAGAATATAGCTTTACTAGTTATGGAAGAAATGAACTTGTTATGGTACTGCTACTACAGTGAAACATAGCCAGCCTCAGTGACCCTCCTGTCCCCTACAGCTGAACTCCCTGGAGGGAAGACCACAATACCTCTTCTTTCAAAAAGCACCTAACAACTGGCCAACAGCTCCTTGAGTGAACATAAATACATAACAAAAGCATTGCCACACACAAGACCACACTCAAATGCCCTCCCAGCACTGCCCTCCTCACCCAGAAGGACTGGCTAAACTTTAAATTTGCTGAAATGCAGGGTGCAGGAGGAAGAAGCTCAGTGATTGCCCAGAGTTACTGGGGTTCCCAAGAAAAGGGCTCAGTTCAGCAATTCCCCTCCATCACGCGTGGAGTGCCATCAACATACAGCATCATCAGAAGGGCAGGGAACAAGGAGGAGCACAATCCCTTTTGGTACCCTTGACACATGAAAAGCCTAGGGAGTCTCCAATGATTGGGATGTAAGGTTTTAAGTTTTCTTTTTTTTTTCCTTTTAAATCAGGGCAAGCAGACTGCCTGCAGAGAACACCCTTACACCAGCACAAGCAGCTAGGTATGTCTACATAGTTGCCAATTTAGTATTATGAATGACTCTAGAAAAACATGACCATTTAATCAGGACTAAGACAAGCCTGGAGGCCTCACTTTCTATTTCTTTCATGTGTTTCATGCACCTTTATTTATTTATAATAAATAAATATTTACCTATAATAAAGACCTTATCTAGTCCAAAATGCAATTTATTTCAAAGGGGCTTAAAATTTTGCATTTTCTTCAGTAATAGCTCACTAACAAACTTGAAGCTACCATTAGCAAGACAAAACTCTGGTCTTACGAGAATCATCGTGAGAAGTGACACTCAAAACGCAGTTATTGCTGGAAGACCCATTCTAGCTAGTGATATTTAACAGGACAAAAACTAAAACCAGGCACCCACACTGCATACATGACGTAGATAGAAAAATGCAAAGAACAAAAGTTTCGTAACCTCTATTCTACACCATCCAAAATTACAACTGGATAGTTTCAAAACTATCATGCTTAATGCAGAACAAAGCGTAGTTACTATATTGGTCTCATGGTTTAACCCCAGCCAGCAACTAAGCACCACAAACCAGGACAACCAGTATACCAGAAAATATATTTACATATGAAGAACAACAGGGTAGAACTTGCAGCTATCATTTTTTTTAAAAACAAATACTACTACTCACGTGTGGACTTTATCACAACTCCTTTTCACAAAAATACTGATAGAGAACTCCAACACACAAACAGTTTCAATGAACTCGTTACAAAACACTGATAGATAGTGCAACAATTGTAAGACTCTTTCAACATGCACAGAGCACTCTTACAAAGCAACATTTCTTCTGAAACATATAATGGATGCACTGGTGACAGCTGAAGTATAAAAATAAACACAATCACTCTGTTAAAAAATTTGTGCAAAAGTATCATTTTTCCCTCGCTTGAAAATGTATACTATTTTTCTAGATATGTTTAATAGTAGTATTCTCTTGAAAAAACTGAGAAGACCTGCACAGTTCCAATTCCATTTCTGCTCATTCTGAACTGCGTGACATATCTGACATCCTATATTCCCCTACCTTCGATTAAGAGCTCTTGAACTCTAAACTGAATTAGACAACATTTTAAAAAAATAAATCTAGTATTTCTAGCTCTGTTCTAAGTTTATTAAATGTTTCAGTTACTCTCCATGGTCTCAATACATTGTATGCTTTATTGAGAGTGACCCATTTACAATCATTTCTAACAGGTGAGATATATCCATCTTAACTCATTATTTGTGTCATTAAATGTCCTAGCTTTCTTAAAGAACAAGAGCACAGCATTCCTAGTGCAATGAATTATAATTCAGTCTGAAGCAGAACTACATTTCTCCCATATTTTGAAAAAAAGTTGAAAAATGTTCAACTGTCAGAGAACCATTCAATTAAAGGCTGCTTTAAACTTCATAACCCAGAAGTGTTGTAAGAGTCCCTTTTCTTCCAACAACTCGCCAATGAAATGTGGATATCCAGTCCTATCAGTCATTTAAAGAATGTGTACAAAAATAATTTAATTGGAATATTCTATGAAGTAGTTAATTTTACTAAGATCTCAGACACTGAAATAATGCTTCCTGTTAAAGGGACACCTACGCTAACCAGTGTTCAAGGGCTCATGTTAAGCTGATTAAACTATAAAGTAACATTCCCCCAAATCTTATTCCAAGAGATTTTCTCATACATGTTTTTCTTCTTAAAATAAAGATAATATTGCAAATCTGAAAGCCAGTCCAGTTTGGGGCGGCTGGGGAGGTGTTTGTGGTTTTTTTAACACAATATGGAAGAAGGTCCCTTTAACAAGGAATGAGACAGCTATCACTTAATCAGGATGTGGGAATGGAATCTGTACCTATGGGTAAATGGCAATGCGTTCTGGGTTGGTTCAGCCCTTGGTTCTGAGTTCTGCGTCACTTCTGGCGTCGCTCTCTCATCATCTGTCCCGTTAATACTTTCCGGCGTTAAAGGAGACTGAATATCCCCTCCGGCTGATTCCTTAAGTAAAACAAACAACACATCAAAATTACAAATTGACTTGCTCAGGAAGGCTATGTGTATAAGCACTAACAATAATTCTTAAACAATACACAAATTTTAGGTACTATTAATGTGAGGCTCAGATTTACAGCATCCCTCATGGTGACATTTCATCGTGTGAATTTGATTTAGAAGTGTATTACTGTAAGATTCACATTATTTGGTACAAAGCACAACTGACTCATGAACTGTTTGTAAGTATTCAGCTTCTTGCTTATTTCAGACCTCTCCCTCTTACCTTGTTTTACATTCAGCCTCCATCCTGCTACACAACGGGTGACTACTGACACCCAGGATTTTTGTCTCTTACTTCATATTCTAACATGGTGAAACACACAATTCTGGTATTTGGTTCAAAATATGGCTTTCATGTTGTTTATTAACCAAACTGAACAGTGGAAGGGCCACTGGTGGTGCATGCACAATTTCACCTATGAGACATCCGTAAAGAACACTTGCTAGCAGAGTCCTTGCAAAATTTTCGTAAGCACGTGAGCCTGGCCTAGCTCCTGCTGCTCATGGTATTACCTGGGAACGAGAATACTCCAGCTATACCCAGGCAGCTTCCACTGCTGCTGTGTAACTGGACATCCGAAAAACCTAACAGCTGCCTCCCAGCAGGAGCTACTGGTCCAGTCCTAATCATCCTTTGTCACACCAACATGTACATTTGTGTTTTGCTCATTTCTAGTCACTGAAAAGTACCTCTTTTTTATACAAAGTACACCCTTGTAGCCCACATCCTAAGTCAGAACATTATAGGCTCTTCAGTCCCTGTATGTGGTTTAATTTTAGTATTTTCTTTCCTATTATTTTGCAATTAATGATTTTTGCAGGAGATAAGTCATATAAGCTAAGTAGCTCATCTTGATTTTAAAATGTCTTAGGCTTTTAGTAACCAAGTGGTAACATTTAACTCTAAGAGTTTCATGAATAGAGTTCAATGGATGTCACAGAGATGTGCCCATACAGCAGAGGACTGGATGTATTACTGTATTATCAAAAGCTATGCATCTTGCATCTCCTATGGCCACTCAGCCTTCTGTAATCAGCATGGGGCACAGATAGAACTGCTATTTAATGTTACTAAACTGAAGCACAAGCTCAGTCTCTGAAGACCAGAAATTCCTCTTCCCAGCTCTCTGACACTCTGCATAGGAAGTTGAACAGCTATCTCAGAAGGAGTTGCAAAGTATCTGAAGATGGTCATGATCTTACAAGATCAGGGTTTAATTTTGAGTCTCCACTTGTAGCCCTCAGCTAGTTTACAAGGATAAAGTTTTTTGAAAGCCAATATGATGCTCCATCTATAGGAAATGTTGTCCTTGACTTTGAGACTTAACTAGATAGGAAAACTCAGTTCTTTTAAAGCCAGTAAGATCTGGCTATCATCACCTTCCACACCCTTCTGGTGTCCCTTAACCAAAAATACTGTTCAACATTTTCATTGCACTTTGTTACATTAAGCATTTGCAGCACAACAATTGTCAAAATTTTTCTTTTATTCTGTCATATTTATAACACAGTGAGAGATATGTATCTCACTGTACAACCTGAATTAGTGGGTGATACAACATTTTAATACTGACTTCAAGTTCTATTATATTTAACACTTATCAGGTTATAAAACGCACATTCACCAGTGTCTCCATTCTGTATCTTCTTATTAAATTCCTACTGATTAAAAAGCAGAAATAATTATCTTACACTGATTCGATACCACAGATATAAACTGTTATTTATAATATAAATGTTTTTTTTTATTATATTAATGCAAATTGCTACCTACTTTCAGGAAGAATATTGTTATTTTATGCTCAAAACAATTATCTTAAGTGTTAACATTTTAGAAGTCAAAATTAAATCTTGATTTTTACAGAAAAATTTTACTGAACTGAAACTGAATTGAAATCAAGTGTGAAAGGAGAGCAGAGGTGGCAAGTTAATCAGACAAATGAATTATTTTATACAAATTATATGGTTTTGTCTATTATTATCCTCTGATTTGATAAGCAGTTTCCACCAACATTAAATGAAAGCATTTATGGACCCAAGAGTTTGTTTTATTTGCTCTTCTTCCTAAACTAGACTAGATATTATAAAAAATACATACCACAGGCTACAAAACCTGGATGGCTTGTATTTTTAAGCTGAAATTCCTACAAGACTATTATTAGATACATAAAGCCAGAGCCTACTTATTAAAAAGTTTTAAGTGTAAATGCATAAAAATTATTTCAGTAGAAGAAAAACAAATGTGCAAGTTCCATCTAGGTTTATTTTTCAGTAAAGCACTTTCACAGACTTCTAGTGTGAATGAAATTCAAGTGACAAAAATTAATGCAGACAAACATCACAGACTATGTAATACCTAAAAGTTCACTTCCTGAAAATTCATAAGGGGCTGATTTTCTATGTACAAGAGAAGCATCAGATTCTAGTATGTATTTCTTCCACCAGTAAAACAGGCTAATCAGTACTCCCACACACTCACAACTATCCCTGCCTGATGAATAATCTATTTTCAGTCAGCTGTAATGAAGCTGTTTATGAATAAAGCACCAAAGACAACAGAAGAAGCCACTTACACCAAACAAAATTTCTACAGATGTTTACAAATAATATGTTCATGTTTTATATTACCTTGAGCAACTGGCATCATATTGAGCAACCAGCATCATCTACCTGGACTTATGCAAAGCATTTGTCACTGTCCCACACAACATCCTTATCTCTAAATTGGAAAGACATGGATTTGACGGATGGACCACTCAGTGGAAAAGGAATTGGCTGGATGGTCACACTCGAAGAGTTGCAGTCAACAGCTCGATGTGCAAGGGGAGAGCAGTGACAAGTGGTGTTCCTCAGCAGTCAGTGTTGGAACCGGCACTGTGTAACATTTTTGTGGGCAACATGGACAGTGGGATCAAGTGCACCCTCACCAAGTTTGCCCGTGACACCAGGCCGTGTGGTGTGGTCGACAGGCTGGAGGGAAGGGGTGACATCCAGAGGGGGACATGGACAGGTTTGAGAGGTGGGCCCATGCAAACCTCATGAAGTTCAACAGAGCCAAGTGCAAGGTCCTGCACTGGGGTCAGAGCAATCCCAAGCACAAATACAGGCTGGGCAATGGATGGGTTGAGGGCAGCCCTGCAGAGAAGGATTTGGGGGTAGTAGTGGATGGAAAATTGAGTATAAGCCAGCAATGTGTGCTTGCAGCCCAGAAAGCCAACTGTAGCCTGGGCTGCATCAAGAGCAGTGTGGCCAGCAGGTCGAGGGAGGGGGTTCTGCCCCTCTACTCTGCTCTCATGAGACCCCACCTGCAGAGCTGTGTCCAGCTCTGTGGCCCCCAGGATAAGAAGGACATGGACCTGTTGCAGCGAATCCAGAGAAGGGCCACGAAGGTGATCAGGAGGCTGGAGCACCTCCCTTATGACAGCAGGCTGAGAGAGTTGGGGTGGTTCAGCCTGGAGAAGAGAAGGCTCCGGGGAGACCTTAGAGCGGCCTGCCAGTAGTTAAAGGGGGCTACAGGAAAGATGGGGAGGGACTCTTTGTCAGGGAGTGTAGGGATAGGATGAGGGGGAATGGCTTTAAACTGAAAGAGGGTAGATTTAGATTAGATCTAAGGGAGAAATTCTTTCCTGTGAGGGTGGTGAGGCCCTGGCACAGGTTGCCCAGAGCAGCTGTGGCTGCCCCCTCCCTGGAAGGGTTCAAGGCCAGGTTGGACGGGGCTGGGAGCAACCTGGGCTGGTGGCAGGTGTCCCTGCCCACAGCAGGGGGGTTGGAGCTAGATGATCCTGAAGATTCTTTCCAACCCAAACCATTCTATGATTTTATGATTCTGTGATTAATGTGAGAGTAAAAGAATTTTAGAAACATTTTTGTGAGATGTTCATATGTAATGAAGTTTTTATTCCATACCATTATAGCTTCACACATCCATTCCAGACTTTACAGAGTTAGGGAAGAAATCGCAGTCAGCTTAAAATGAGACTTTCACCCTTCCCCTCTAACTGGGAGAGCAATTTAACTTAGCTCTAACATTCAATTTTACAGACACTGTATGGAAAAAAACAGTGCTTAAACTGAAAATGACAAGTCTTCCTGTAAATCAATGATATATTTCGAGGCCTGATATTTCCCACTCATGTCAGCTACAAATAGATATTTAATGCATTTGAGAAGAAACAATTAACAGCTCTCCCGTGGTACAAAATCACTATTTTATTATATACAGGTTTCTGGAGGATATTGAACTTTAAGTCACTCACCAGTCCTGGATACACAGGAGCTGAAGTACTTTTCTACACGACAAGTAAATGTAAGTCTGACTCAGGTACATTTTGCTATTTAAGAGTTTATCAGAGATCTGAACTGTCTGAAGAAATTCTGGCCCTACTAACGAGTATGCAGGACTCTGGTGATTCCAGCAATATAAAAATGACAGTGCCCACAGTATATAAACTAAATGTAACAGAGAGAAATTCATCAAAAGATGCCCTAAACTTCAAAATCTTATAAACAAAATGCATGTACTCACAAAAGAGTCTTTGACATAAAACAAGCAGACTTCACAGCACAGATCAAGCTTTTAATGGTGACTAAATATGGAACAGAAGGAGGATTAGGTGGTTCTAAAATCATGAATAAATCAATTCCAGCTTGTTTTCTTATTAATTATTATACTGTTTTCTCATTAAGAGTTCCATACAGTTCCCTGGCATTGCTGTTCTTCATAGTGCTTCTATGTTCAGTACTGACTGGCAATGGCATGTCTGACAGCTACTGATTTGGATATGGTAACACGCATGAAACATTTGTTCCAGTACAGAAATTCACATAACATCCCAGAAAGTTACTTTTTCCACAAGCTTTATAAGTAAATTTTGCACTTCTACAAAGAAAAAGCCAACAGGAGATAAACTGTGACCACTTTGCCAAAACCAACCCATTCCTTGCACTAAAAAATGTTATGAATCTAAAACTTTCCAGGCAATAGCTATTCCTAATAGTCTGCACTGGAGGGGTTCAAAATCACAGGCAAGACTATTTTGAGTAAATTACTCACCACACAATTTCAGAAATTAAGAGAGGACTCAATCTCAAATGACTGAGGTAAAAAGAAGTATCTGAGGAGTTTCCTCCTTAGAGAAGAACTGAGGTTTAGACTACAGTTGGTTATAAGACTGACAGGATGTGAGCGCAAACTGCATACACTGCTCTATTTGGTTCTGTACTTGAACCCAATTAATGTTAGTTTAAAAAAGAAAAAAAAGGAGGGGACAACAACACAGTTTTCAGGTTATCGCTTCATGCAGCTCAGTGAACTTCAGACTGAAGTGTTGCTCTTTCAGTGCACAGGCAAGGTGGTAACTGAAAACAGACCATGGGTGGCTTGCCACTGTAAGATCCGTGAGTTTATGACATATGCAGAATAATTCCCTGTATTAAAAGATGGGTCTGGGAAATACAAGGTGGCACAGCAGGGAAGCCAGTATTTTAATTTTATATAAACAAGATACGAACATTGCAAAGCTTTATTACCTAAGGCTGAGTTAAAGGGACTCCAGATGGGGTACCTAAAGTGCACAGGTGGTCTTAGAAGTATCAAAACAGACAACTTCTTTCTAGATTGAAGTCTCCAGACATACTAGATGTGGATAAAGTGTGTATTGTTACATGAATCCATCTTAATACAGATGGGTTAAAAGTACAAGTTCTCTGACACAGAAACGAGGCCTTCCCCTTCATTTCAAGAAAGTACTATGCACTTGGTGAGACTACACAGAGCAAAGCAGCACCTCTCTTGTAATATGTTGTTTCAGGCACTATCTTTCTCTGGACAAGTTAAGTAAATGGTGATTTTATGTATTATCTGATATTCTGGGAAATTAAATCAAAACCTGCTGGTAAATACGAGGAGAACACGCAGTATAAAAGAAACAGAGTGCAGAGTTTAAAATTAGCAGCAGCACAGCTTAGGGGAAAAGGAACTCCTCCTATTAAGTAACTGCAAATTGGGCTATGTATTGTTTTCTTTCTGCTATGTGTTTCACACACATACACAGAGCAAAAAAATGCCTAAGGATACATGCCATCATATGAAACAGTACATCAAAAAAAAAAAAAAACCTCAACATGGAACTGCTACTTTCTGGCCACTGAGGCACTTTTCTGGTAGAAATATCTAGCCAAATAGCACCACCACTTTGCTAAAGCTCATAACACCTTAGAGAAGCAGACTAACTTCAGTCGACTTTAAATAAGATTTTTCTTATTGTGGCTAACTCTGGTAAGTATGTGAACTACAAATATATGTTCTATTTCTGAGATATTTCTGTTGCTATCTCTTGTTTTCTATTTCTCCTTAGTTTCACAACAAGCTTTAGCAGGACATTCAGAATTGAAACTCACACAAACCAGCAGTATTTGAAGGATAACATCAAACACAAGTGAACAGTAAATAGCTTGTGCAGGGTTTTGTTACACTAGTTGTAGAGATATTTAATAAAGATTCAATCTGTAGACACATACTGAATGCAGATAAAAGCACATGTACTTTTTATCTTCTAGAGTTGTGTAGAGAGGATGGTCAATGTACCATATCTGGTACTTTAATTAACTGGTGCATAATACGGGCATGTTTTAAAGCAGTACCAACAGAAATATAACATTTAATTTAAGTTTGACATGCATATTTTCCAGTTTTGATATGCAGTATCTCCCCACCTATTATTAATTTAATGCATAAGGTTATCTACAAAGCCAGGACAGCAGAGGGATTGACACTTAACTGGGTTACTGTTACAGAGCTCACTACTCACACACTATCTCCCAATGCCTTTCCTGTCAAAGCTTCCTAAAAAAGGCAGGTTCCTGCAAAGCCTTGGCTGGCCACTGAAAATATCTCTTTCCTCTTTTAATCTCCCTCTCTGCAGAGGATCACTATGCAAAAGGGAAAGAAGAGCTGTAAAATGACTGAGAAAGGCAACACTTGAGTCATTTGCCTTGCAGCCACTTTCTTGCAGATCAAAATGACAGCAAGTGTTCCTTCAAATTTCTCTGGGGTCCCACCTTACCTCCCTACTATAAAGCCCCCATTTTCCCCACCACGGAAGTGCTGCAGTTTGCCATGAAGCCATCACTTCTCATCTGCTCCAGACTCCAAAGCTCCTGATTCAACTCCCTTCTCTCTGGGGAACTAATGAGAAGCATTAAGTATGTGAAGACTATTATGCTGATGTGTCAGAACTTGCACTAACTGTATCTTTCAGAATAAAACACTAACTTATCAACACAGCGAAAAGCCAAGAGATTAAAATAAGGCCTAAATATGAAATTATTCCTAGGTATGCAGTAATTAAATTGCAGCTCTGAACCTGCATTATAGAATCACTCATGGTAATGTTTCTATAGCTGCCTACAGTATAAAATGTTAGGTTCTGAGTATAAAAGGAAATCTGTACAGAAAAATGAACAATATTAATAGCTCATATAGTTTAAGTGAAATCTTTAACCCTGGGCAGGTGCTAAATGAAAGCATCTTGTCTCCAAGTGAGTAGTTCAGATTTATGTCCAAACCAAGTAAGAAGTCACTCCATTCAACAGCGTCAGATTTAACTTCTGAGTCCAGACCATTAAGCAACATGTCAAAAGAGAAACAGTAATTGTTCTGCCTATAATATCATGTAACTAGAAGCTGGGCTGAAGCACTTCACTATTTCAAAAGTCAACTGTATATAACGTTATAATATTGAAATAACTACTTCCATTATCTCTGTGTTTATTTATGGAGTTTATCAGAAATTTGGAGACAGTCAAGAAAACTAATTTTAAAAGACTGCCTTATTCTTCTGTTACAGTACAACAGTTTCCCATTAACAGCAAAAGCCAGCCTAGCACTTGGGCAAAATGCCTACTGGGAAAACAACATGAGGTCGGTTCATTGTGTATATTCTTGAGGTTTCCACTGACTTCTCTTGGAAGGACACCAGATGTGGCTTTCTGGCAGCAATAAAATTATTTGTATAGTATGTTGCAAACTGCCTGCCATCCTTGTTCCATCAAAGATCAGGAGCATATTACAGTGCAAAGCACCCAAGAGATGCACTGACTCAATGAATGAATACTCACCAGAAAATAGATGCAGATACATTAATCCTACTCAACACAGAAACCCCTGCTGTAGTTTTAAAGCTGTTTCATAATCCAAAAGAAGGAATTACCTTTGTTTTCACCATTGCTAATAACAAAGCCAATAGCTACACAGTGCCAGAAACACTGGGTGGGGAGTGCATAAAAATAACATGCAATTTATTTTTTCAAGGCAAATACAAAGTACTAATTTTCAAGTAAATTAATTTCAGGCATGACTAATGTAAATGTAATTATATTAATTTATCCTCTTGTTAGGCCTGTATTAACCCAGTTCATGTTTTGAGATACCTTTTATAAACTCTTCTTTTACAGAATGGCTAACTGTAATAAAACTCCAGAACTAGCATGTGATTCTGTCATCTTCCTTCAAAACACTTCACAAGTCAGTATTACACAGGAGGAAATAAGAAAAATAGTTTGCTGTTTTAACTTTGAATTTTGTTGTAATGATTCTTCTATGAAAGTAATTTACAGTGCACTGCCTGAAGTTTCACAGATTCAATAAGGAAAAACACAAAAGGTGTTTACTATAGATTTACTTACATAACTGCTCACCATGTTTACTCACTTTCTGGGGAAAGCTCAAAGGAAGGAATGGGAATAAACAAAAGGCCAATTTTGTTTGAAAGCAAGTCCCTCTGACTCTTCTGTAGTGTATGTTAAATGTATTCGTAGACTTCTTGACTCTTATAGCTGATTGTTGAGGGGATTCAGGGTAACTGGGAAGTACCCCGTTCATTTTTAATACAACATATGTGTGTAAGATACAATACACTAAATAGTGCAGATAGGAAGTTCTAGGCCTGAAGCAGGCAATAAGACTCACTTGAGAAGGCGTACTTGTTAGCTCCATCTTTTCTTGGGATTTTTCCTTTGCTAGTCGTGCAGCTTCTTTGAATTCCTGAAATTTTTCGGCAAACTGAAGGTACATATGTTTAAAAAAAAAAAAAAGAGAAAGAGTAGGCGTCAAGTAGTACAATACATGCAGAACAGAATGCTGTACTTAACATTTTATAAAGTCAAATTCTGTCAGTATAATTTTTTAATTTTCCTCCTTCTTAGCTACTCACTTAATTGAGTTACACAGTGATATACCTTTCAGACATAATATACACTGTTTATGTCAGGAAAATTATCATGCAACGAAGTTTGATCTATTGCTGATAGTGTTAAAAACCTCACCTCAGAGATAGCAAATAATAGTGACAAGCTGCCTTACACAGCTGCTTTCAGATTCAGGTTTTACTCTCCTGACAACAAATGATCTGGTTCTGAAGCTTACTGTGGTCACTGTTAGCCTAAAGCTTTCAGTGGGCTTCATTCTTTCACGATTGAAACAATATTGATTTCTTCCCAAATTTTAACAGCATTTATAATTTCAATAGCTAATTAGGAAAGCAGCAGTGGGAATACTGAGTCAAGTTCATTTCTTGATTGTTCACTGACATCAATCAAGTTAAAAAACAAGTTCACTGAACTAAACATTTGCATATACTGAATACTATATTCAAGAATTGCCCATCAAACTGCCATATGAAGCTTGACTTCTATGCTGCATGCACCCCTTCCAGAAAATAGCTTAAGCAGCAATTTGGAAATATACGCACCCTTCAACTTTAGAGGTTAAATCAATTTATTAAGAATAGGGCCTAGTTTCTCTGACTAGAGAAATATTTGACTTCATAGATCTCAGCTTGACACTACACTAATTGCTATAGTAGCCAAGCATTTGGTTTTGTTTCCTACTGCTTTTATACAGAACTTTATCTCATTATGATCAGCTTAAGACTGAGATGATTCTGCAAAAACATTGGAAGCTTCTCCAACAGCTTCTAAATCTCTCCGGCAGCAGCATACAAAGAAACTGTTTTTCATGGCATGTATTTAGAAGGGATGAAGGCTACCTTTTCTGTGACAATTTCAACTAATTTAAATCAGAACTTCACTTGCTAAGCAAGGCCTAAAAAACTTTTTTGTCTTTAAATGTCCTCTCCTAGTAGGCTATTAGTATTCAAAGAAACATAACTTCTCTCTACTTGTACCCTATATTTCATCTGTCAGGTTATTTAAAAGAGTATGTTTCCTGAACATAGGAGACAAAAGATGCCACACTGAAAGTCTAACCTGTCATCAATAAATTGCTGATAAATTTGTCAACAGATTACCAAAACTAGATTATACTTATTTAAGACTTGTACACAGACCTCAAAATCTGATGGGTAACCTATTATTTAAATCAGCTTTAAGACCAGAGGATTGGTAAACGGAAAACATGATGCTGAGGTTTAGAATAAATATCTGAAGACATACAAGGCAGCAAATATGATCTTCTGTATCACAATGGTAGAAACTGTAAAAAACTATATAATACACAGATAAATAGATAACATTCTAAGAAAGTGCCAACAAGGCCAACATACTGGAAATTTTCACAAATTTACTAGAATTCCCTGGGATAGAGAGGTGACAAATAATAGCAATCTTTTGATAAAATTCCTGATGAAATCTCATGGTATGGAATGAAAGGTTCTCTGAAGGATCAGTATTTTAAGGAAAAGATGAAAAATTGTGCAGGGAGACTACAAGAGGCTCTTACAAGTTTCTGCAGTGGCACTTTTGCCATTTAGCATACTCTTAATCTATATGGAATAAATCAGGCCAATTAATTCAAAGGGGTAAGATAGACAGCAAACCTGAAAAGGAGTATTTCTTCTCATACATTAGGATACTGTCAAAAGCACATACTTATATTCTGACTGAGAAAGTAGTTTCAGTTTTTTTCTAAAAATCATGAGGCATTCTGTCTCTCCTACTGCAGCAGCAAGAGGGACTCTGCTTTAGTAATTAGTTTAGGGGGACAAAGGCCCATGAATGAAAAATGAATAGTCTAAAAGTCTAACATTTGCTATCAGCTAAGCAATTATCTGAGAATAAAGTTTATTCTATCTGCTCTGATTATGTGATTCATTAACCTGTTGAAATCAGTCAGACTAGACTAAGTTTTTTGTGGTTGCAGGCTATCTTTTGCTCCCTGGAACTTGAAATATTTCACTGGGGCCTACAGATACTACTGCAAAACAAATTGCATACAACAGGGCTGTTCACTTAAGGCCTTTGATCAATCAAACACAGGAAAGAAGTTCCATAATCAATTTTTAAGGCAGTTTCTAGTAGCAACCTGTTTCTAGACAAATCTATTAATACAGTGTGTTTGTTAGACCTGTTACTAATATCCAGTAGTACCTTGAGCCCTAAATTAGATTTCACGTCCTACAGTGCTAGGTGTACAAAAGAGTACTCTTGTAAACCTGACTACACTGCCAGTGCACAGAAGTGGAAGTTAGTAATCTGAGCAAAGAGACAATACAAGGAAGAGAAAATAGATGTGATTTCTTTAAAACTACACAGCGGATCCAGGCTTTCTAATTCAGCTTTTCTGACTCCATGACCAGCATACCTACCAATACCAGTGACTGAACAGACTGTAATCTAAAGAAAAGTTTCCCCCAGCAAAGACATTTATTAATAACACAAAAAGTTTTACCTTTATGAATTTTAATAGCAACGATCAGCAATTTCAACTCACATGAATATCAGTTTGATAATTAAGATACAATATAACAGGAAGAGTTTGATGAAAAGGTCCTGAAGATTCATCACCATAAACTTCAGAAAAGGTTTGTGACTTGGTATTTTCCTCATCAGATTTACATTTTCTTCATATAACACAGCAACCTGAGTAACTGCTAATCAAACATGTCTTTAAGACAAAGTATTTACTGTAGCCTTTCAGATTATTTTTTAATCAGTAATATAAAGTTTTAAGCCAGGGGCATACTTAAAACATTTAGATATCCGTTTAAGGGCAGTGAAAGAATGGGACTGAAACAACTGTAATTAAGAAGGCTGTAAGTACCACATGGGGAAAGCAAGAAAAGAGTCAAAGATACAACACATAAACCCAAACTGTTTTCACTGGCAAGGATAACCTAGTGTGTGAAGTCAGGCAAACACAGAGTGTGCATGACTATAGCATGACACCTTCCCTCCAAAGAAGCATTCTGTGATTAAGGAAAAGAATCTAGTTGATGAGAGAGGTAACTAAATCAGCATTTATGCTAAATCCACTGAAATATTAAGAAAAGTTATTACCACGTTGGTAAGCAAGTGTCTCTAGGACATACACATCAATTAAAGTAAGTGACAAAGTTTCCAAGTTCACTGAATCACTGATAGGTGCACAAACACACATGCAATATTAGTATCATTCAGAATTTCCTCTGTTTGTGTTGCCTCCTGGAAACGAAAGCTATCTGATTACAAAAGGAAGAAATCTTAGAAATGTAACACTTGTCCAAATAAAGCAGATGTACTGATTCTCATTTTAATGGTTTTCTAACAGGCCCATGCTTATCCTTGAATAAATAGTGACAATTACCTTCTCAAAAGGGCTGATATGATTTTTTAATTTTTTTTTTTAAATAACAAGCCAATTGTGATTCCTTACTTAAACATGTACTATAAATCCTTTTATTATACTTAGTTTCCAGATCTTTTGCACTCTTTTGATATTATAGTATCAATAGCAATAGGTATTGTAGAAAAGGTGCTCAGAGGAACTGTACCATCAGTTGGAGAAACAAGGTTTACTACTTTGCTTGACATAAGGTGCACTTCCCTCCTGCACAAGCAGACCAGAAGAAAAACCTCACGTATGTCACAGTTTCTTTAGTAAACATTTTAACTTTTGTATTCTACCAAGAAAATGTAATTTTCTTTTACACTGAATATATGACCCACTAGCTTTACTTTAAGCCTGCAGACATTGAAATAGATGTAATCTGATGCACTGCACAGTAGAAAAGTGAATGTGGCTTAAAAGACAAAAACGTTATGTGAAGACATTTTTTTTAAGAGATTTAAATATAGAAGAAACACTAAACTGTGTATTCCTTTAAATTCTATCATGAAAAACTGTAATAGAAGAACAACTTTAAAAAAAGAAAAACCTAACAAATTAATAAGTAGAAAGCATCAGCAACATACATTGTGATAGCTTAAGTCTCCTTCCTTTCCTTCCTCAGCTGAAAGATAATTTGCAGGTATCACACTTTGTCTTTTTACATAGTAAGGATTGATACAGAACCTTTTTTGCAAATTATTTTTAAATAACAACAGTAGTGAACACTGAGTCAAGATACAACAAGCAAGACACAAACATTCTTAAGCTGCTTGACTAGCTGAATAGTTCCCATTGGTCATACTTACTTTTGAAAGGTGATGTTCAGATGAAAATCCCAAGCCATAGACTGTATTCGCCCTGCTGTCTGCCCACTGGCCAAACTTCTGGGACGTTTTAGTAAATGTCATGTTGGGAGTGATAGTGCTATTTATTATTGCCTGAAAAAAAGTAATAGTTGTAAAAAAGGGGTTTTGTGGATTTTTTTGGTTTTGTTTTGTTGTTTTGTTTTTAAAGACTACTCATAATTGAAAACACCATTGTAGTCAGGTATCTGTGTACACTGAATGAGACACACACTGCGAACTAGGGAACAGTTTTTTAGTTGAATCACGACTAAAATTGCAAAAGTGTATCTTTGCATATATTCTGTAAAAGAAGCAAAAGCTGTGGGGGAGCACCTGTTTGGAATTACAAGCAGTCATTTAATAGTTAGCAAGTCTAAAAAAAGTCTGTTAAAGCATCTGCATAGGCTAATGAGATCAGAAAAGAAGAACTAGCGAAGTCTTTATTTGTCTCACAAGTATATTTCTTTGTCCCCTAAGGCAACGCCTCTCAAGCGCCACTGTAAACTTCACTGTTGCACTCCCCCCACCCCCGCTGCATACGCGATTCTCACTGGAAAACACACAACAAAAAAATGAATTGTGCTTCTTGCTAAGTTTCTGTAATACAAGAATCTGTTTTTCCTTTATACACACACAAGCATGCCTGACAAGTTCATACATCAACTATAGAAGAAGAACTACTCTTAGAATCCTTTTTCTTCTCTAGTTCTTGTTATACATAGCACGGAAGAAGCACATCCTGCAATATACAACTTCTGCTCATGTAAGCCAAAAAAGCAACTATTAGATGATATGCTGGTTCCACTAAAAGCAACTAAAGTCCTACCATGTATTTCAACAGTGTTTCCATCATGGTAAAGTTTGTCTAACATTCTAAATCTGCAACGTAGAACTGCCCAGCTGACTTGAAGTATGTCAGAAAAAAGTCTTATAGTGACACCAATGGGTTCCATTTAACTAAAAAACTGATTGTTGGTATAGTTTACAGCCAGTTGACACGAACAAGAAAGGCTGGCCATGAACCTAAAGATATGTGTATTTGAAATGAAATGTAGGCATGCTTTCTTATGTGTCTGCTGCTGTGGTGCTAAGAGTTTCAGCCACATTTGTAAAATAATTCACAGCCCTTTTCATGAATCACTGGTGCTTTCTAACACCTACATAAAAGAGGACATCCTTGAAACTTCCCAGAAAATAGCACACACTGTGAGCAGAACAATTCAGCAAGAATCTTTGTTACATGCCATTTACTGTGCTCCAAAGGTTACTGTCAGTATGTGTCCTACTGCAACTGTCTTACACTACCAAGACGGGAATTTTGAATATCAGTGTGCATGTTTCCTGCTTCCATGAAACCATAACCCCTGCCTTACCCTCGTCAGGTTAAAGCCAGGGATTACTGAAGAGTTCTAGAGCACCAACAAAATGCACAGGTTCCAAACCATCTCCTCTGTTGTAAATAACAAAATCTTTCTTTTATTATTTGAGTAGCAGGAATGGTACAGATGTGTAGAGAATAACAGTGTTTTCTCGGGACCATGACAGCGAGAAACTTCAACACCAGAGAGACCAAGTACTGCTCTCCCAAACATGAGATCTTCTACAAGTCAAAATCAGTCTATAGGACCTGGGTGAGATGGCTGCCTGAGTGGATATTAAAATGAGTAGTTACAGAGCACAGCTACCATCAACAGAGAAGTTTCTCTGAATCCTACAGGGCAAGCCTGAAAAAATGTACAGCTGAGGGGCCCAGCTAAGCCCACAAACAGCTGCCATGTGTATATGGTGATTCTCAGATGAAGTGGTGGAGAGAAGTATTGCAAGAAAGTTCAGAACAACACATCATATTGCAACATACAGAAAGACAAGCAAAGACACTGCAGCACTGATTAATTTAACAAAACTGGCATCTTCTGCAGGGGCTTGGGCAGCTCCACTATACTCACATTAAATTAGAATAACAAATCTGGATGTAGCTGAGGATATCAAACAGGCAGTCCTCTGATAACTTTTGCCTCACAATGCAAGTTTTGGCTACCATTGTGAACAACTCCTGGAAAATACTGGAATGCCTGAAAGTTTGAATTGACAAGCCTCATCAGGTAAAGGACAGGATTTGCTGTGTCATCAGAGACTGGAGAACCATCTCTAGCATTAATTGTCCACAAAACATCTCCTCAGATCTTCACATAGGAAAAAAGCTGGTCAGTGAAGTGACTGCTAAATCAAACATCATTCTCCTTTCTCTAGGCATAAAGTTTGGAGCCCAAATAAAGTCAGCAGGCTTGCACTTGCACTGTGGTCTCCAACTGACCTCACAAAAACCAGCTGTCTATGCCACGCAGGACAGAAGAGATAATACGAGACAGGGAGGTGGACTTCTTGGAAAAGAGGTGTTCTGGAGCTCTTCTTTTCTTGTATGCTTCTTGTCTTCCTGTGCACTGTGAGTGCTTGGAAGCCCACTTTTGAAATAACTTGGTGGAGGCCCAGAACAGAGCTGCACAAGTTTACTTGATGCTCAGTCTCTCTTGCTCTGGAAGCTGTCAACAGTACTATGTTTGAAATTAAATATTCTGGAGAATAAAGAGACTTCCTGCTAACTCAAGCTCTAGCTATGCTGTCTAGCTTGCTTGAACCCTAGTTGCATCCATTGCTTGATCTATTTGATCTTACACCGCAGATCTGAGAGCGCACATATTATGTTACAGCTGTAACTGCCTCAATGCAGAAGATGACGCTGAGGACAGGGACTTATGATCTCCAAGCAACAGGCAGGTTTAAAGCCTGCAGAACTGGCATTTGTTATAGTGACAGTGGTATAGCTGGTTGCAGATTAACCCAGTGAAAAACCCCGGTGAAACTAACCAGTTTTTAGCTGAGACTGCTCACTGCTTCGGCTGATGACATGGGAGGCTGCACAAGAGAGAATGCAGAACAGGCTGCCTGGACCAGAATGGGATATGTGTTTAGACAGCAGTCTGCATTTAGGCTGGGTTACAGTGACTGTTGAATTGCCTCCTTGAAAGGGAGAATGGTAGGAAGAAAACTTTTTAAAAACAATTGTATTGAGAAAGAGTTGCTGTAATTCTTCCCTTTATCTTCCAGCAGAGAAAAAAAAAGGAAGCTCCACTCCAGTGGACAGCATTAGTCCAAAGACAGCAAGTTTTTAGCTGGGAAGACTACAATAAGATCCAAGTCACACAAAAAATAGTCCTTTCACTAGATTTACCAATTTTACGAGGAAATCAAGGCTTTTAGTCATCTCTGAATTAAAACATTGGTATGTTAGATCTCTCATGTGCTAAATTAATGATTAATAAAAATTATTAATAAAAAGTTAAAAGTGCAATGCTAGAGCACTACAGATAGAGCCAGTGTCAGCTACTTCTGGAAAATACTGGAGATGAATTCTTCATATCTTCAGCTTAAAAAAAAAAAAATTTAAATTAGATTTTATAATTAAACCCATCTTGTCTACTCAAATAGGTACTGCTTTATCTTCTCTCCTCCATGCCAGATTTCACTGTAGAGTTACCAGTATAACAAGTGTCAAGTATTTCATCAACTTTTAAAAATGTTGTTAGTATAAATGTACAAGAATATCTTAAAACCAGAACAGAGTCAATCTGACAGGCAGACATTTAGCTTTTGAAGAAAACTGATTTTGTTATCTTTAGATTTTGCTGGAATAAAAGAATAGCTTTCATGGTTTTCTTTCTTATTAGTTTAGCTAAGAAAAAATAGGGCATATGTCTTGGATGTTCGTTTTACTGACTGTAAACCCAACAGCTGCAAGATACACAGCACAGGTCAAATATGATTTTATCTTGTGTTAAAATTGATGGCAATAATAATTAAGACACACAGTATTTTTTAACTTCTTTAAAGGAAGATCACTGACAACCTATGCTTACAGGCCTTCCTTAAAATCCATATTTAGCGTTAAACAGGTTATCACTTTAATGTGTCTAGTTTATTTTACAACAGCCATTCAAATGTAAAGTTCATCTATTGCAGTAACACCGATGGAAAACTTGACTCAAAAATATTATATACAGTGCTCATAGAACCTACAGATGGGAAAACCACTCTTTTCAAGCATCTTCTCTTGTTTTAGATGAGCACAAATTATTAAGGGTTTTTTTCCTATCTTGCATCTGTGAAAAAATCAGAGTTAACTAGTACTGCAGGAATCATATTACTTGATATCCTTTCTTTTCTGTGATTGCCAGAGATTGAATGGAAAAGACTGGAATTCTGGGATTAATCCTTGTGTCTGTGTTACTGGAAAAATAATGGAGGCTTCCTTTCATCACCTAGGAGAAATAAGTATTAAACCACATTTTTCCAAGGAGCTATGAAATGACTATATAATTAATGAGAACTGAAAGCCTTAGCAACAACTTCTCAATGTTGTCATGTCATACTGCATAAGAAATTTTATTTTTCAGGCTTTCTCTTGATTCTTAGAGTGGCAGGAAAAAAGGTCGCATAAAAGACATTTTCTCAAGAGGTCACAGAAACCAGCTTTGAGTTCTAGCAGATTATTTGCATCAGGATTTGCCTGCCAGGGGCAACAAGGATCTAGATATTGTACGTGACTATGTACATGGCCTGTACACTGAACACTTTATGGTCTTATAGCATCCTTCAGAGGCGAGTGAAGATCATGTCTTAAAGATCTCTTTTTGTTTTCAAGAAGAAAGACTTAATGACTTTCAGGCAACCAGTACAGAAGTTAAATTTTATCCAGGAATCCTACTGAAACCCACTGACCTAAAGAAAGGGAAGGGTGTGGGACAGAAATAGGATTAGCACTCAAACTTTCCTTACTGCAATCTAAGTGAACATGCACATGACTTACCATTACTTGATGACTTATTTCTCAGCAACTGAGCCACTGTATATGCAAGTCATTCTTTCCACTGTACAAATGCACAGGGTGCTGTAAACCCCATCAGCACCAAGGTATACAATAAAACCTGGTTGGATCTATTCCCTCCGAGGGAGGGGCATGACAGCTTCAAAACCAGTATGATGCAACAAGTGCTTCTGGCCACTGGCAACATGTGCATTTGAAACATTTTCAATGTAAGATTTGTTTTTAAAACAAAAAACACACCACAAAATCGTCTTTATTCAGCCTCATTTCAAAACTTAAAATGGGAGAACTAAATTGCATAGGTTTTTCTCCTTTGCAAATTTAACACTTCTGCCTGACTAATCAACAATATAAGGCATTGCAAGCTCAGATGACAGTAGTTACAAACACCCAGCTGTATGCCATATAGCAAAGACACTAGCTGGATGCACTTCAAACTTAAGAATGCTTTATATTTATATTTAGCCCTTTTTACATACTATACTGTGTATGTGCAGAAATAAGATGAGGCCTTTAACTAAAAATTTAAAAATCTCTGGGAATTATGCTGAAAACCTCCTTAAAACTCTTCCGTAAGTCCCCCTGCTATTCACCTGTGTATGCTTCAGACCAGTGCTGTGATGCCTACAAAAACAGGTCTTTCTTAATTATGATTGGGATCGCAGATCTTAGTCAAACATCTAACACTTGGATGAAAAAATTATTAGGTTTGCAACAATCACAGAGAGAGGAAATAAAAGTGGTAGATTGCATTATCAATATACCTTGCCAATAATACTGCAAAAGTAAATGAAATGCTGTAGACAAAAGAACAAATAAATACTGAACAACTGCTTGACAATTTAACTCAGCCACTTTGCAGGAGTTGTGGCTTTGAACAAAGGCAGAGGGACCCCAGTGGATACCAGAATAAGGATTTTGAAAACTGTATAGATTAAAGTGCTACAGATTACAACTAGTAGTCTTGACATCATACAGCATCTAGTTCCAGTCCCAAGCCTTTATTTATAAACAGTCACACAAAAGGTATTTTAGTTATTTGCCAGAACTAAAAGAATCACTTGAAGGAAGGTTGGGAAGGGAAGAAACAAAGTAAGGCTTAAACTTGGAAAATTCTGATAAACTTTAATACCAGTCTCAATTACTTACAATACAGAGATCTTTCACTATAAGATCTATTTTTATATACTTCTTTATATAGAAATTATCCTTCCTCCTATAAAATAGCAATACTCTGGATATTAAAAAAAAAAGGCAGGGTAATATTTTTCAGTTTTCAATAAAGAGCCACAAAACCTCTGTGATTGCTATGCTCTAACAGAGTATTTCAGTTCCATCATGAACTGATGCATCTCCAGAAGTTGCAAATTAAAGTCTTTTAAAGGATTACAACTTCTGATGACACTCTGTATATCTTTAATGTCCTTATTGCAGAGTTTTCTGATACGCCATTTGTAAAGTTACTGATTTTATACCCACTTGAGGCAGAACCTGAGGAACAGTCAAGTTTTTTTCTCCATGTCAAATTAATTTCTTGGAGAAGGTTTCTTACAACAGCAGCTCAACACGTTATCCTTCCTAATTTAAAAAAAAAAAAAAAAAAAAAAAAAAGGATGGGGGGGAACCCCACCCCTAAAAAACCCAAACCAACTGAATTTTAATAAAAGCTTACCATGGAAAGCTTTATTAGGAGGGAATCTTCACATTCTCTACAGCAAAAATTGGAGGATTACATAACAAAGGATTTACTAAGTGATTATGGCCACTGAACAGATGTCCTTTATAATGCTGAAGCCAATGATATTGATAGATCATTGAAGGCAGAGATGAAAACAGGTTATTGTAACACTATTTGTACTTTTTAGCACGTCTCACAGGGAACGTCTTTTTAGCCTGCTCATAATATTAACTAAGTAACAGGTCATCACTTAAATTCAGCAATAGATTTATCAAAGTAAACATGAACACATGGAAAACAGCATTTTATAATAAACACTTAAAACATGTAATGAAGCAATATTACCATTTTAACACATCAGTAATCTGTTACTCAGATAATGACAAAAGTGTCTGAGAAGATACACGAAGGACATCAGACTAGAAAATAAATACAAAAATTGAGGAAGCATGCAATTTTTCTGAAAAGAAACTTACCTTTGAGCCATCCAAACTGATTATCCTGTAGACATTTCTTGTGCTGTCATAGAAGTAGGACACAGTAACAGCATGCTTGCTGGTGGGAACCCAGTTCTTCTTAGTGTTTGGGTCAATCTGGAAGACGTGAGCTCGGGTGCTGAAGATGGGTTGTTCCCTGAAGGATAGAGAGTCAATGTTATGAATCTAATTTGTACATAATATTGTTGCCTACAAGTTAATGCCAGTTGCGCCCACAGGGATGTATACATTTGACTTTGCATAGTATTTTTTTTCCTAAGAACTTCTGTATGTGATGCTCCAAAGAGCTAGTGCATTACTATACATATGCAAGCAAAATGCAAGCCTTCTAAGGCAAACATCAGCACTCAGCTGTACAGTCAAACATCTCTAATACAGATCTAACTGTCCCATTACCTCCCCAGCCCTCAACCTCCACCTATTCCTTTAAATTAAGAGGTACTTGTGTAACTTCATCTCATTACACTGCACACTGCAGAATGTATATGACTTCAAAGCCCCATCTTCTGAAAAAAATCTTTTAATACTCTGTTATTCTAATAAATCTCAGGCCATAATTTGAAACTGAACAGGCTGACTCAATGCAATTACTCTAAAACTAACATTAATTAGGGCTAGGAACATTGTTGTGAAACATTCACTCTTTGGAGCTTCACGTCTGAACATTTTCATAGCAACACTAAATATGCAGAACATGTATGGTTCAAAGTTAACTGCTTAGCAAATAAAATTATTTATGCTAAAAAAACCTACTGTACTTTAGAATTTACTACTTACTTTCCCCATGATCATTACCAGGACATATAGTATTGCACAGAAATCTAAAAATATTTTAGTATGACTAAGATGGTTGTCAGTTTAAATTTAGCTACATTTTAGTGACAAATAGATTGCTGTATTGTTCAGGGAATGTTGCCACCAAGTCCCAAAGATATTAAGTACCAGAACTTTAGAAGGATTTAACTTTTTAGGTTTTTGGACTCTCATTTTCTCCTGTTTCCAGAGATGTGAAGAAACATATCCTCTGTCCCTGCCCTCATTTCCCTTTAGGAGATAATTTTTTAAATACATTTTTCTGTCCAAAATAAAAGCAAAAGAAGAAAAAATCAGGATTTTGGGTACTCATAGTCAAAGGCTTTTAATCTGGCCTCATTAAAAAGGGGGACATGTGAGCTCTTAGAAATACCTCTACTGCTTGGCAGCAAGAGCAGCTGAGACCAGCTACTTTCAGCAGCAGAATCTTACTACTCAGCTGGGAGGTAAAGCTCCTTGAAGCTCATCTGCCAGAAGATGTGGTGTTCTCCTACGTTGGGGCTTGGAAGAAGTGACAGAAAGGATACAGAACAGAACAAAAACAGTGAAACAGGGAGTTTCAGCAAAAGCTAAAGGGGAACGAAGGCAGACCAGGGAGATGAATGCACATGGTAGTCCTTCATGTCACTGCACCCTCAGCACCAACTCATCTTCTAAATCACCAAGCTACAGGGGGTTGGGTAGCTGCTTTCCTGATCTCAGTCCCTTGCACACAAACAAAGGTTATGCAGACATGAGTTTTATAGCCCTTTTGTTTAACAGAATCTTTACACGAATTCTTATCACTCTTTCAAATATCTACAATTACTTCTTCAATCAAACTTTAGTTCTTGTCTTCAATATTAGATATATTTTGAATTTACCTCTCAATTAAGCATATCCAAATAGAATGTGATGCATATTACCACAATACAACCAGTTCTTTAACTCTGGAAAGTTAAAGAGCCCATCGAAATAAAAATCTTAGAAGCCTGACAATTATTTGGATGAAGATTGACATTGAAAGGAGAAAATAACGGCTTTGACCATATAAACTAAAAAGGCAAAAGAAGAGCTGAATCCAATTTGTAGATGTGTGGTTAATGAATACATATTTGAAAAGAACTGATAATTCTATCACAGTACAGTGTATCATACAACCGGGACTTTCAACATAACACAGGTTAAGATTTTAGTATGTAAAAGGTAGGCAAAAATTGTGTGACTAAAGCAAATGGGCATGTCAGTAAAAGTCCGATTGTTCAGCCCTGACTTGCTGCTTTCCTGCACTGTCACAAAAATCTTCCATATCCCCACCTACATATACTCAATTTGTTTGATGAGGTGGCCTGGATATTCCTGCTGATAGTTCAGCAGTGTTGCTCAAAGACAAACCAGCGCACTTTGCAAGGGCACATGTGTGAGTTTGGCACAGACATTACAGGTAGGTATGGTACAGCATAAATTAAGCTTACTTACACTAATCACTTCTGATAAAACCAGAGTTACAGTCTTTTCTTTCCACGTTTTAACTGAAACTACAGCTTTGCTTAATCACAAGCTGCCTACACTGTGAAAAGGCATAGCTCTGTTAAACTAGTTGGATAAATTATGATTTTGTCAGATTACTGGGGTAATTAGGATATTTTTCTGACAAAGACACTAAACTTCAGATTCCTCTAGAATTAGACCAATGTTTTGACACTTGATGATGAACATTTGTAATGATTATTTCTTCAAATAAATGGAAGCTATGCACCTTATGTCTACAGGACTAAATGCGTTATAGAATCAGACACTGATCTACCACTGAAGTCCTTCATAGCTGCAGTACAATTAGCTCATCTGTACTTGTCTGTAGCAACATACTATAGAGCTACCCAAATTTTAGATTTGCTAAAACATTCAGAACCAAACAAAAGGCAATATAAATAAAACATAAACAAGATTTGTAATTTCAGCTAATAGATCTTCACTCAAAATTTTTGTTCTTCCACTAACCTCACAGGACATGATGCCCTCCCAGTCTGGAAGTTTCAATTCATTCATCTGAAGTAATATTAGTTATAGGAGCATTGGTATTACTTAAATAGGAGAATAGTTTCCTTTTTCCCTTGCTAAGTGCTCAGACAATTAATTTATATAGAACTTACATTTTATAATATGCAATATATATTTTTATATATACATAAATTTAAAATCTACTTATGCCTATATAGAGTTGAGCTAGGAAGAAGAAAACAGCTTTAAATAAGAAAAAACAATCTTGCAAAAAAACCCTATCAGTTCCTTACTCTTCCCTCTCTTCTTCCTCTTTCAGCTTTCTCTTGTCATTCTTTCATTACCAGAAAGTATTTAGTATTCATTAAAGACACTACCGGGAACCAAAACAAAAACTCATCACTAATTACAAAGAGAACTCATTAATTTTTCCAGAAGTATCTTGATGCTGAACAAAAAGAAAATAAACTAATAAGAATGCCGTAGTAATACAGTTTGGCTGTTAGAAATGTCTGCTCAAGCATGGCAGAAACATTAAGGCTAATACTCTGCTGTTCTTAATTGGCTTAGACTGCAATGCTACAATGGTCAAACAGAGACTAAAATAAGTGCTAAGCCCTCCTGGACTGGAGTGGCAATGTGGGGAATAAAGAAAGCAGCAGGAGAAGAAAAGAAGCCTGAGTACCACTTAAGCAGGTAGAGTCACACCAGGTTTTTTTCATCACTGATACAGAAATCCATTCATCGATATATGATCAGTCCTAGGCTAGGTTTAGGATAAAAGTCTGTGTCCTAACAGTTGAATGAACGGTGTTTCCAACCACTCTTTCCATTTTGACATCTTAACACATCCTTTTCAAAAAAAATGCAAACTGCTGAATATAAGAATCTAAGGTTTCATTTCTCCATATGTTAGACTAATTAAAGCTTCCACAAAAGAAGCTTAAATTAATACAGAAGGTTAGAAAGAACTTTACTTGCTAATGCAAAAAAATATCTATTCTTTCACATGTCTGGTACTTCCAATATTGTGCCAGCACTAGTGCTGAAGACCTCCTTCCTCTTACTTCTTTCCCACACTGTTGTTTACCATGACTCCAAAGTTATTTTCATTGCCATAGTATCTACAACTTCTCAAGGCTGGGATTCTGTTGTCTTAGTTATTGTAAAAACAATTAGGCTGCTGAAGAGAAGGTATCAACTTCTGATGTCCTACTTGCCTACCATTATGGTGTGTCAATGATGCTAAAAAAATTTTTTTTTGTAAAACACCCCTCTCCCTTCCCCTTGCATACTGAGCTACGTTGACAGGGTTTTGGTAGGGAGGGTGCTGCACCATGTGGGACAAGGTCTGAGACTGTCCTGTGCAGACACAAGAACAGACCAGGATTGGGGCTGTAGAAAAAAAACACACACCGGAGATGACACCTAAGCAGGGGCTGGTGCAAAGAGCTGCCTAAGCAGGAGTGACAGCAGATGCGGAAGCAGGTATAACACTGAAGGCGCTGTGGCCCATGGAGGAATTGAGTTAAAAAAAAAAAAAAAAAAAAAAAGGCAGCCACTACAGCCACTGACCACCATCTTCTGAGTGCCACTTGTGGTGAGGGGATAGGAGATGAGGAAGTAGTTGGAGAAGTGTCCACATAGAAGATAAGTTGTGTTTTCTGTGTTTATTTAATTGTTTGTCTTCATCTTCATTGGCAATAATCTAAATTGAATTAAATTTCCTGAATCAAAATTGCATATGACAATCCCTCCCTGCTGCAAACACAAAAAACAGACCCAAAACTTTATACAACAGCCTCTTGGATCCCCAGAGCATTCAAATACACTATAAGTTTTAGATCTCTAAGCAGAGCTATTTTCTCCAACCAGTAGGACAAAAGGGGATGAATAAGCAGGTCCAGTTTGATGGGGTACACCTACTCAACTCAGCTTTGACAGCTCTAAGGTCCATGAGAATGAACGTTCATGTCAATCATTTCAGCAATTTGTATTTCTCCAACATGGATCTTCTAAACTCCAAAGTGCATTATCCAGACTTACTGGTTTTGATGTACATCAAGTCCACGTACAAGACTGTTTTCAAGAAAAGTCCAAACAAAATGTGCCTTGAAGTCTGCTTCATCACGTTTCAAAGTTGCAAACAGAGCAAGATTCCACCTTTCAGATTTCAGTCTCACGAGTTTCAGAAGATGATGCCCCATGCATCCAAAAACAGGACAACATCCCTGTGCTCTGAACTGGAGTACAACCACGCTCCAAGTCCCCTATCCACAGTAGAGACTGGACAAGAAGAGTTCTGCCCTCGGCCCATTACAGCCATGAGCACAGCAGACCCGG